TTTTGTTTTCCATTTAAAACGGAATAATGAAAGTTCACGGCCATGACAGTGGCAAAGAGAAAAAAAGGAAAATGAAGCCAAGGCTTGTTCATACCTCTAGTACCTTGAAAAATATAGAAATTCGCGAAATCTGTGACGACCAACAAATTACTGTTGTATATGAAACCCTGATTTCCGCTTAGTTTGACGCTCATGACAATCTGGAAGACGTCAAAGCAAATTCTTTTAACTCCAAATTGTTTTCACTCCTCCACTTCAAATTGCACACAAACAATTATACGGTCAATCATGGTAAATGTGCATCGCCGAATGAGGCCTTCGATCAAGCCATCTTCTCGGAACAACGACAGGATACCATCCAGACGTCTGATGGAAAGCTTCATTTTTCGACAAACATGGTCCAGAAGCTGCCAGAGGCTGGTTTGTCTCATGTTACACTACAATCTCTTTACGAGAAACTCAACATTAACGGTCTCAATGTTGTACTGGCATTGGCGCCACCTTCAAAATCAACTTGTCATACATCGAATTCCGCCAGAGAATTCTCTGCGGAATGTTCTTACATTTCCAACTGTTGTAACGGTAAGCAGTCTGAGTCTCAAATGATGACTTATTTTTCAGGAATTGTGTAAAATCACGAAACAATGTGAATCCGTCTTCAGGATGTACGATTTTTTCCGCGCTGAGGCCATCCATTGACTAATCGCGCGGACATGGACTCATCCTCGCAAAAATGAGCCCTGGAGTCAGCGGTATCGTTTAAAGCGCGTGACCGGATATAAAAGTGTGAGCTAAAATTGTAAAAACCAGAAATAAAGCTTGCTAAGTTGATGAACTAATATCTCGAAAATTAGTTTGGTGACCTACTCTGATTTTTTGTGTACAAATTATTTTCATCATTACGCATTCCTGAAGAAAATTTTAAAAAATTTTATCTAGTAGAAAATTTTTTGCATTTTCAAACAGCATCCTATATAATTCAAGTTCTACTAGTTAGTTTTTTTTTATATCACGTATACAGATAGAGAATGTGATGATGTTAAATAAATTTGAAAAAAAAAAACTAGGTCACTGACTTGGTTTTTGAGATATCTTTCAAAAACTGAGTTTTAGAAGGTCTTTTAGCACTACTGTACTGTTGCCATGGCAACATATGATACCCGACAAGCCCCCTCTAAAGATTGCCCTAACATATTGTTAAGCATATGTCAAGTCATTATCCTGATGATAAGTTTGACAGTCCTGATATCTTTTACTGATTGGCACTTGCTGTTAATTGTGGAAAACCCTTTCGAGCCTCCTTAAGCATAAAAATTTTGCACGAGTTAAACCTGTAACTACCAGAACTGACTAACATGTAACTTCTCCTTGTAATATCCATACATCAATCAGCAAACAGGTTATGAGAATTCTCAAACTAGTCTGGTAGAAGTTGCAATCTTGATCCAACACCAAATTCTCATGACTAATTTACAAGGAAATGTGTAGCAATTAGAAGGGAGAATTCACAATTAGATCTTAGGGTTAAAATGTTAAGTATAAACATTTTACATCAGTTAAGCAATTCTTTTTCATTCTATTAAAACTAATGTGAATTTTAACCACAAAAATGAGATTTTTTTCCCAACTGGATGGATTATTTGGATTTTTTTGACATGGTTAGCAAATCACAAATTCTTGATATAAAGGTATATCCCTTGAAGATTGTTTTTTTTTACGGATAGTGCAGTTGTTTTCAGAGCCATTACTTTTTTAAATTTTTTAACAAAAAGCAGTGAAATGCGCTTTGTTTTTAAAGCATATCTTCAAATGGGTGCTGTGTATCCTGGTTTGTTTTGCTATTGTTGAAAACCAGCTGTTGATTGGGACATGTACCTGTCCTTTGTGTCATGCATGATTGATTTCATCAGACATTTTTTTGACTTAGATCATTGATCATGTTTAAAACATCCAATATGGCCACTGGGCATGTATAGAGTGGTTCTATCTTTACTCATTTCTTGATGCTCTGAACTTGTGTTTTGGTGACAAGATTCTGGAAATCATAATTTTTCATGCTTCCACTCAATATCATCTTGGTGTTGTGTGAATCATTTGGGGTTTAATGATCCAACCCTGTCTATAATATTTCGGAGAAACCTGGTGAATTTTCATTTGTGGAATCGATTGAACATTTGGGTGAAGAAATTGATCTCTTGGAATTGAGAACTCGGCCAGTTAAGTATTTTAGTGACCGCATCATAGCTTTGTCAATGTGCTCTCCTGTCAGTTTGGGTTAATGGTGTCATGGCTGTGAGCTTTTTTGTCATGGGACAAAAACTAAGCCAATTTGCAAGTGGCGATGTTGAAGTTGATGTAGATGTTCAGGTATTGTACAACACCTTGGAGGGAAATTGCTCAGAATATGTTAACTTGTGAAAAAAGTTGTTTAAGTTTCATCCTTCCGGAAGTATTCTTTTTTCGATGGTTAATCTGATCTTTGTTGTTAATTTAGAATGGCTGGTCACCAGATGAGATGTTCAAAACCAATCAGGAAAAGTTTGGTGTTACATCGACATACAGTGAAGACCTGTTACAGTACACGTAAGTGAAATGCCATCTGTCACAAGACTGGAAACTAAAACTTTCCACTTCAAGCTCAAAGACAAACCAGAACAAAACTTTTGCTTATTCACCATACCTTTTACTTCTCCTAGAACACCACTTCCAAAGGACAGCACTCGTGAGATGGAACTCAAAGCAGAACAAACAGCCCGTGAAATTGAGCAGGTAATTATTGTTCTTCCAGAGATGATTAACATGTCACTAATTCCTATAATATCCGTACAAAATTGATTGAGCAAACAGGTAATCAGAATACTAAAATGTGCCCAGTAGAAGTTGTTATCTTGTTCCAACACCAAATTCTCAACTAATTTACAAGGAAATGTTTAGCAGCTAGAGGGGGAATTAACAATCAGATCTTGGAAGTTCAAGGGTTAATACATTTGTCATCGATTAACAGAGTAATTAGTAGGCTTCGCTGAAACAGTAATTTACATCGTAACTTGTTAGGTTAACATATGGATAATATTTTTTGCTTCCATTTGTGGTAAAGTCCCATGGGCACCTGCACCGCCAAGAAGTTGATAGTGGTAAAACGGAAGAGGAACTGCATGCAGCTGTCGTCAGACCTCAAACCACAAGCACAGCTCCAAGAACACCTCAGGTGTCTTCTGAACAGTCTTCTGTAGAAGGAAAGCCACAAAGAGAAGGTATCTTGGCAGTAGACATACACGCTTTTAGATTTTATTCCAATAAACCCAGAAAGAACTTCTTTTCTGAAATTACTTAAATTGCAGCCCACCAATATGAGTCATTGCCTTGCTTGATTTTCATCTGCAGGTCAAATGAACTTTAGTTCATTTCAAATTATGGTGAGATTTCTTCATGGGGAAGAAGAACCCTCAAACATGTGCCCCTAAGCCAACATGTGCCCCTTAGCCAACATGTGCAGCGCTTGACACTAACTTTTCAACTTACTAGCCAAGTGTTTTTGGATGTTTTTAGATGTTATGACAATTTCAGTCTGTTTACTGGCCAAACAGGCTAGTGGAAATTGAAAACTACTAGCCAAAACTGAATTTCTACTAGTCTGTGGCTAGTGGGCTACCGCTAGTGTCAAGCCCTGATATGGCTTCATAACTCAGTTGGTCATAGCCTCCAACTAATATCTGGGAGGTACAATTCAAATCCAGTGAAAGCTTGAATTTTTTTGAAGATTTTTTTCTGCAATGGCTCAGATTTCGGCTCACCTGCAAGGATCATTAATTTGCTTGAATATCCTCTGCAGCTCATATGAAATTTCTTCCATTAAAATTAAAGTAAAATTAATTATTGTGTCTTTTGCCCCAACTTCCAGCTGCTCCTGAAACAACTCCATCATCTGATGAGCAAAAAGCGACTGACACCAACACACCAGCAGTGCAGGTAAATTTTCTTGAATGTTAAAGTTTGCATATAAATCAATTGCTGTTAATCCTTTCCTAAGTCAATTTGTAAGACACTCAGAAAATATTCCACAAGTGGCTAAGAGGAAGTGTTGAAAATGTTGTTGAACTACCTCGATTCGACTCTATTCAGACGATTTATCTGTTTTAAAGTCGTCCTATTCTAGCGGAAGCAAATTTGCAAGACACTTAGAAAATGTTCAGTTACTTCCTCAATTTGTCAACATTTACTACCCTCTAACTCTCAAGTGAGCATTGTGTTCTTCTGCAAATTGATGGTGAGACAGCAACAGTGAGATGGGTCGACTTAACTAAAAACAAGTTGAGGTGAATAAAGTCAAATGAATAAAGGCTGATAGTTTCTAAAGAAACTGTTTGGGGCTGCGTCAGTGGGGGTAACGAAATAATTTGAGTATATCAACAAAGTTGAAGTGGTGAATTGGCCACCGTTATGATTATAAAAGCTGAAGTTTCGAGCGTTAGCCCTTTGTCGGAGCGAATAAAGTCAGATTGGGTGAAGGTTTATCTGTAATGCCTTCTTTTGCAAATTGATTGTTATAGCTTCAGGTTGTCATTTTCCCATTTCTTTATGCCCCTCAACTTCGGGTATGTTGACAAACAATTTAACTTCGAGTGAGTGGATTTTTATCTGCCATAGACAAATCAAGTCAGGTTCTAAGGTGTATTGGACATGTATGCTAAGGAAATGTAAAGACAACGGTGTGGAGAATATGCATTCTAATGTTTGAGTGTGAAGAGTTAAACAGCTTTCAGACAGGCAGTCGACAATAAAATCTCTTCAGTATTTTCCAATTTTTCATGTTTGTTTTCTTAGGCAAATGCCAAACCCACAAGTGCTGTTACTGTTAACACAGGGAACACTGTAACACAATCCTCTGGTGGTCAAAGCTTAAAGGAATCTTCCACCGAAGGACAAACAGCTTCTACAGACACTCAATCCTCTGGTTCCAAGGCAAAACAATCTGAAGTTATGAAAGGTAAATGAATTAATTTTGAGGTTTTCCCTGTGTGTAAACATTTTGTTTGTTTTTATAATTTTTTTGGACATTTGTTGATTTTAAATAAGTTACAATAATATGGTTTTTTTATTATGATCACTGTTCTACAGATTTAAAAGAATTTCATTCCAACTTCAATGTAAGTTAAGCTCTTTTGTTTTTTCAAATAATGCTATTAGTATATATCTGATTAAATACAACAGCTTATTAAGCATTTCACATATTTCAGATTTCAAATTAAAATTGCAAATTTCCCAGAGATCATCATTATCAGTGACAGTCTATGTTGGAAAAGTCAGAGTTTTGGCAGCCTAGCTTGAAAATATTGAGGCATCAACAAAACTCATTCAGTGTGGAAATCTTAAGAGAAAGATCTGCTAAAATTAATTTTACTGACTCATATTTGTTGGGCTATCTACAGCTGAAAGAAAACTCTTCCAAGAAGGAAAAAGAAGGGCAACAAACAGTTTCCCAAGAGGCAGATCAGGCTGAGGCTGCTGTGACTAAGACTACAACGTCATCTGGTAATGGTATGTATCCTTGTAAACTTGTAACTGAAGGGGGGTGCATGGGAGAAAGACTAATTAAAAGTGACTCAAGATCAATTACTAGATTCTCCATCCAAATTGTTTTGTGTTGTTTATGGTCACTGCGGGGAGTGGGAGAGCTGATTGTTAAGTAAATTCTCCCGCATCCTACTAGCGTGTAATTTCTACCTTCAATTTCATCCTTGAATCACACATTAAGGTCGCAAGAAAAGAGAAAATGACCACCCACTAAAGAAGCTCTTGATTGTTAAACAAAGTCTCCTTGTCAGCACCTGAGAAAATGTATAGAGAATGGTATGGAGAATATCCATACTGATGTTACGGTGAATGAATCACAGTAGGTCTACAATCAGCAACAAAATTGTTGACACTGACCTTTTCAATCCCCTCTTACTTCAATTTTCTTTTTTGCCCTTGTCAAGTTAACATATTCGCTCCCATCCCTCTTTGTCTGATTGTTTATATATCTTTCTCATAGAATCTGGAGCACCATCCACCCCAGATGTGCCCAAATCAGACGAGAAAAAGGATGGGGAGGAGAGGTAATAAAAATTCAGATTTGCTCAAATAAATTTAGACTTCTGTAGTCTTGATTTGCACTTGTTTCAAATTCAGTTTTTCTAATCCAGTCATGGCTTACCTTCTAGCATTCTGTTTAAGTCAAAGCTGAATCCAAATGCAAAAGAATTTAAATTCACTCCAAAGGCTCAAGTAAGTTAACCCTTTGATGCGTAAGAGTGATAAGCATCTAATTTCTCCAGACAATATCACCACTGAATCACACATTATGGTTACAAGAATAAAGGAAATTATCACCATCTAAGGAAGCTCTTGACTGTTAGTCAAATTCTCCTTGTAAACACCTTAGGAAATGTATAGAGAATAGTATGGAGAATATGCATATTGATGTTATGATGCGAGTATCTTGTACTCTTGCATGACATAATGAGAGTAATTTTTGGGATCAACACAACTAAACTTGTGGCTACGTCACTCACCAATTTGGCCAGGTAGTTAGGAGTGGCATGGCAATGGGATGATGTTTCCATTTACCTGAAGTCATTCCTCAACAAGAAGTTGTAATTATTTTGTCTTTAGAAGCAAACTCCACCTCCACCACAATACATTCCAGCAGTGGTTCCTTATTCACCAACCTCTATGAGACCACCAGTGCCAGGAGGTCCTTTTCCTCTGCACCCTCCGCCGATGATGATGGTACCTTCACCACCATACTACAGAGGCAAACAGCCATTTAATAAACGTAAGTTCAGAAGTGCTTTTGAGTCTTCCTGTTTTTTGTTTGTTTGTTTGTTTGTTTATCAGTTTTCTTTTGAGACATTTTGATCTTTTAAGTCTCTGAAACTTATTGGAATAAAATGGACCTTTTATGGTTACAGCTGTACGAAATCATTCATACGGAGGTGGCCGTGACCAAGTGGAATCACCACCTTCCTTCATATCGGCAGCTGCTGCAACTGGCAGCCCAATTATCACACCAGGTGGGGGATTTCCTCAGCAAATGTACAGTCCAATTACGCCACATCAGCCCGTTGCTTATATCCAGTCACATGCAGGAATGGTGCCACAGCCAGTGTTACAACAGCAGGTGTGCAATGAAGGCTGTTTTGAATTATTTTAATTCTAGAAAGTGGCAGTTGGGATTTCTTGTTAACTTTCATGAAATTCTGCATGTGCTGGCAAGTCTTTCGATAAGCTGTGAAGCTGTGTTCAAATGCAATTAACACCCATTTAGCTCCCAAAAATAATCAACATGTACAAGTAACTTCTCCCCATAATATCTAAACATTACTCAGGAAACAGATATAATGAGAATAAATTCAAACTTATCAGGTAGAAGTCATTATCTTGACCTAGCACCAAATGCTTGTCACTTATTCACAAAGAAATATGTAGCTACTAGAGGGGAGAAATAACAATTACTTCTTAAGAGCTAAAAGGTAATTAAAAGCTTTCCTGAATACATCCCTTGTGAAAACTATCCATAAACTGTGTCACACAATCTAAGATATTCTTTTTCTTTTTTTTTTTGCAGTATGTTGTACCTCCAGGACATGCTCCACCACGATTTATTGCTCCCGTATGTAACTGTTTTCTGTTCAATAGAATGTGATTCAAATCTTTTATTTTGTTACCCAAACTGATATGGTGCAGATGAGTAATGAGTTACATAGCTCATTACACCATGCCTTTGTGAGAGTGAAATTGAGAGGGTGTTAAAGCCAAATCTGTTTCTTTCAAGTTGAAGTGTTAGGGAACTTGTTTTCACTCTAAATTTTTCTTTTTCTTTTGCATAGGTGTCATCCCCAGCAGGGGCAGGTACTGTTCCAATGTCACAGACATACCAGGATGGAACACCTGTGCCAGTTTATGGTAAGGGTTTTTTTTTTTTTTTTTCCCCTGTCAGTTTTCAGTTTTGCTTTTTGGTGAACGAGAGATGTCAGATAACAATTTTGTAATCATGATAAGACAAGAGAAAATATTTGAATCATTGTGGAAGATTTGAACCCTTGGTAGTTTGAGTTTCAGAGACAGACTCTTTACTAACTTAGATATAGGTACCTTTATATGTGGGCAAGCTGAACTATTTACCAAGTTAATATCTGACAAGTGTTCTGTGTATGGTTGATATAAAAAATCTCATAGGGACACCTGTGGAGGTTTAGACACCTTTTTAGCAGATTAAGAACTAGTCTACTGCTGAACTTTTGCTTCTAAATATTAACTTACTATTATGTTATTTTTTTAGTTGCTGGTGCACCCATGCAAAGTGCTGGTACCCCCCAAGGCCAACCACAGCCCAGCCCTTCACAGCAGGGTCAGTTTATCTTCACCTCTGTCCCCCCGATGCCTGGACAGCCACAGGCTGGAGCTCCCCCTCAGGGACAAGTTACACCTGGCCCTGCCCCATATGGCCAACCAGTTGTTTACATTCCTCCAGTGGCACCTAATGCTGTACCTACTTCTACTCCGTCGTCAGTATCCTACATACCTGGTGAGTGGCAACCATTCTTGTCGCCAAATAGAGGGCGTAGCTTGATAACAGAACCACCAGACCCGCCCCCAAATCCTGGTGTAATTCTACTGTAGGGCCCTCAAACAGGAAAAAAAAAATCAAATAATTGACTTTATTTTCTTGCCTCGGCAGGCTCTTTCCATGGTGACAGGATACAATGAAAAAAATAAAAGAAGAAAGAAAATTGAAGCTCCGTTTGACTGTAGAGTCTTGCAGTCTGCCTTTTCTCTTTCTCTGTGTTATTGAAGGGAAGTCCCCACAGCAGCAAGGAGGGATTAAAAGGCAACCTTCTCTGTTGTATTTAAAACAAATTTGTTGCAAAAGCAAATAAAGTATTTGTTGGTTTAAATTTTGAAACTGTGTTTCATCTATTTGTAATATTACATTTGCTTGTTTCTTTTTTCAACTGATTTCAACAGCCAATGAAAACAAAGAAATTTTTTGAAAGAATTCAAAAGTAAATTCGACAACTGGCTTTAATAAGTATAGTATGGATAAGATTTCGAGGCGGGGCTTAAATATTTTCTTCATCCAATCACAGAACAAAACCATAGCTACTGATGATTTCTTTCGCCACGCGGTGGAAAATTGAATGAATGAAATGAATGAAATCTTCATTTAAAACACGGTAAAAATATCAGTATGACAGTAGAAAACAAAGAAGAAATTCATCTTAAGTAAAATTTTCTATTAACTGGTTTACATATTTGCCGTGTGGGAGCCCAATACAGAGAGCCATTTATCAATTCTTCTCTTGAAGATGCGTAGAGATTTTGTAGTGCGAATATCCTCAGGAAGATCGTTCCAAAGAGAAGCTCCGCTATAACTGAAGCTACGCTTCAGGAAGTCAGTTCTTGGTTTCGGCAAGTACAACCTTTGGCTTGCGCCACGAAAATCAAAGGACAAGGTTCTTGGAGGGAACATGTTACAAAGATAATTTGGGGCGAGCTTATTAACGCATTTATACATTAAATTTGCCGCTTGCTTCGTCCTTCTTACTGATAAGTTATCCCAGCCGAGAGAGTTGAGAAGATAGCTGGAGTTCGTATTAGAACTTGATTTAGTAATTACTCTGGCAGCGCGATTTTGTAGTTTTTCTAATTTCTCACTCAGCTGTTGAGACAAGCCGTCCCAAACAACACTGCAGTAATCAAAATGTGGTTCTATAAGACCTTTGTATATTTTAATAGCGGTGTGCATTGAAACAAAAGGTCTAATTCGCTTCAGTGCACCGATACTAGAAGAGACTTTTTTTGAGATTGAATGTATGTGCTCGTTCCAGGATAGGTTTTCATTTATGTTCAGTCCGAGAACTTTGCTATGAGCTGCTTGGTTTATTTTGACGCCGTCTATATTAACATTTATTGTCTTGTCATTTAAAGACTGCAATTTTTGACGCGAGCTAATGACCATGAACTCAGTTTTTGCCGCATTGAGGCTTAACGTGTTTTCTCCGAGCCAGAGATTAATGCTTTTCAGTTCAATATTGATTTGAGTCTCGAGACCATGCAAGTCAGATGCAGCAAAGGTGACATTCGTGTCATCAGCGTACATTCTGGGAGAGCCTAGGCTCAAGCAATTTGGTATGTAATTTATATAAATAAAGAAAAGTAGAGGACCAATTATTGATCCCTGGGGAACTCCATAATTTAGAGGGCTTACACTGGAGAGGTGATTATTTACATTGCTTCGTTGTAGACGATTTGTTAGGTAAGACTTAAACCATTTCAGTGCATCTTGATCCACCCCATATTTAGCAAGTTTTTGCAAATTGATTTCGTGATCTATAGTGTCAAAGGCTTTCTTTAAATCAATGAAAATTACACCATTGAGTAGACCTTTGTCAACATTGACACACCAATTGTTGCTTGTCTCCAACAAGGCAGTGAGCGTACTATGTAGGGGGCGAAAGCCAGACTAGCAACTAGTTAATAAATCATTTACATTTAGATAATTGTATAGTTGGTCAAAGGTAATTTTTTCAAAGATTTTGGCTACGGCAGGTATAACGGATATACGGTAGGCCGATAGTTGTTTAAGTCAGTCTTGGACCCATTCTTAAAGATAGGTGTTACTTTAGCCAGTTTCTAGTCGGAAGGGTAGTCAGTAGTGAATGATTTTAAAAATATACTCGTTAAAGAGGGTGCAACGGCATCGGCGGCTATTTTGAATAGTTTGCATGGAATGTTGTCAAGACCAGGTAGATAGATAGATAGATAGATAGATAGATAGATAGATAGATAGATAGATAGATGGATGGATGGATAGATAAATAGATAGATAAAGATCTCTATTGACTTGGAAAAAATAAAAGAAACACGTCCAGAGACAAAACGTCTGGACTTACAATTTCCTACATATATCAATTCATTATGTATTTACAAGACTAAGTGGCTACACAAATTTGAAAAGACATCTATTAAAAAAGCAACGTTTAAAACGTTCGGTTCTAACTAGAGGCAGGATGTAATTATGTCCTCTTTTCCTGGCCAGTGGCCTTCCCTCCATCGATACCTTTCACTAAGTTTACGACTTCTTGGACATTGATCCTTTCGAAAGAAAATAACCTGTCAGAGGGTTTTACACTGATAGTCAAGTGGATCAATGTCTACAGTAGGAATTTCAAAGGCTAGAGTCAGACAAATACTGGTAAAATGGCCCGCGTTAAACGCCTCTGCCATGTCTTCAGGTGAAGTAGACTTAATGCCCTGATTGAATCTGAGAGACTTTAGTAGATTTGCATTGGTGACATTAGAGTTCATTGATTAACCGCCATGTTTTACGTGGATCACATTTACTTGCGTCCAGTTTCTCCGAAAAATATTTGCGTTTGGCTTTTTTAATTGAGTTATTTACCTTATTTCTTGCGTCTTTGAATTCTTTCCAAATCAGGGGGTCATTTGTAAATGTAGCTTTCTTTTTTAGAAAATCTCTTTTGTAAATTTCACGCAACAACTCACTTGTAACCATGGAGATCTATTATTTCTAATTCTTTTTGTTTTCAATGGTGCGTGCTTATCAAAATAATACCCATCAGAAGGTGTTTCCAAGAGTTCCACATTTCATTTGGGTTATTGAGCGTGGAAACGGAGTTCCATTCATTCATACGAAGATCACATAAAAATTCATCTTCGTTAAAATTCTTGAGCTGTCGCACTTCAGCTGGTTTATGAACAAAAGAGCGGAAATTGTCTTAAACAGGGTATCGAATTTATGATTTTTTGTCTTAATCAGGGTATCGATTTAGCTTTTGTAATCGTTACGGTGGCCAATTTACCATTTCAACTTTGTTGATATATCCAAATTATTTCGTTACTTCCACCGACGCAGCCCCAAACAGTTTCTTTCGAAACTATCAGCCTTTATTCATATTGATTTATCAATTTTTGTCTTAAACAGGTTATCTTTTCTTGGAAGATAAACAGCAAAAGTTTTACAAGCTCTAATTTTAATTAATATTGAATTCCGTTGATTTTGGCATTGATACCAGGCACATTAAATGTCTTAAACAGGGTATCAAAAATCGGAATTTTGTCTTAAACAGGGTAGGAAAATCAGCGATATTTGTCTTAAACAGGGTCAGGGTATGAGGGGCCGCGCCGCACCTCCCCACCCAGGAATATATCGAGTACCCCCCCGGGAGCTGAGAAAAGAGTTTCCAGCAATCTGATTGGTCGAGCGGTTCCTTGTATGACGCTATATAAACCGCTACACGCGGTTTATATAAAATGTTAAAATAAAATGTTAATAAATGTTACTAAAATGTTATGATTTTAGAAATTTCTCTGTTGTCCAGCTCTGAAATTATACTAAAACAATTATTCGCCCCAGGTTCGGTGAATATTGTCGAATAATCCTCTCGAATAATTATTCTTTTTTCTAAATCACTTGTCTACTTGATATTATATTGATAATAAAAGGAGAAAAACTGTCTTAGGTACTCACGGGAATTAAACGGTAAAAGAATAGAAACCTTTTTCGGTTAAATTTCTTATTTATTAATCTCAAAGAAAGAAGAAAAAGACGGTAAATAATCGTCTGTGCTCCGACAGGCAACAAATACAGGTAAATAAATGGTAAATACAGGTGTGTGGAGATTAAGCCCTCCCAGAGTGCGCGCACGCCGTTTGTATGACCCACAAAGTGCACGTTTTTCTTCGCGTTCCAAACCCAGGAGCTTTGATTTGAGTCAAATTAATTTGTGCGGGTGTTTCAGTTACTCCGTTATCACCTAAAGAATCAGATGGACAACCAATTTGCCGCGAATGTACAGTGTTGAAGTGGAAACAGGTGGCACTATTTTCTTAATCATTCAATATTTGATAACAGCAAAAAAACTGATGATGGAGCGGAGATTACTTTGATCAACTAATGGCACTTTTCTTGACATTTTGACGTTTAATTAAACGGGGAGGTTGCCAGAAAGGACAGAAAATCTAGTAAAGAAAAACATCATTTGTTAAGATTGAATGAAAAAGCCGTAAGAAAAGTGACACATCTGAATGGACTTGAATTTTCGCTGGGTTAAGGAAAATCCGCGAGTAAGAATCAAAGGCAATTATAGTGAGTCAAGCTACTTAAAACGCTACTCTCATTAATATACTTTCAAGGAGCAAGTTCTTTGCTTTCATCTCTTTAATTTTTACCTCAACGAAGTCTGGATGATGTAAGTGAAAAACTCTAAGCATGGCGACGCACCGTTTTCACATCAATGAAATACCATTTGAAGAAATTCGTCAGATTTCTTTGAAGATCTTTTTCTGGTGAGCAAGCATCGGGCGGAAATTGTTATTCAAACATTGACTCCTTTCTTTAAATTCAATCCGACCGTAAGTGCGAGCTCATTTTAAGCACTTCAGTATCTTAGCCTAAGTGTCTTTCTACTAAACTATGAACTACTCCGCAGCTCCTTCAGTTACTTGGTCTTCCGTTGGCAAAGCCATTCCAATGATATGCATCTCGCTGTTGGCTTTAGCTGGTAACTCCCTAGTTGTCTTTTCTGTTGCGACAAACAAAGTCATTCGGCGAGTGCCAGCCAATCTACTTGTCTTGAATCTAGCCGTGACGGACATGGCAGCAGGTTTAATCTGCATTCCTCTTTCCTACATCACCGTGCTCTGTAGCAACAAATGGATTTTTGGGGAAGCTATCTGCCAAGCGGAGGCTTTTGTCATAGTTTTACTCTCCAACGTAACTTTGTTGACTTTATCTAGCTTCAGCTGGTACAGATATAAAACCATCACCTCTCACTATAAATATTCCAAGTTTGAATTATGGAGATTGGTCAAATGTATGGTGAGCGCTATATGGGGTATAAGCTTCCTTCTCGCCCTCCCCCCTGCGTTTGGGTGGGGCGAGTTTTATTTTAGTTCGAGTATTTCCACGTGCTCGCTAAACTGGTCCAAAGACATGTCTTACAGTGTGTTAATACTTGTGTTGCTATTTATCATACCTTCCTCTCTAATGACAGTGTTTTACCACAAGATTATGAAGTTTGTTCGTCGGCATAATAATAATTTTCGTTCCAGGAGAGCATGGTGTAATACCATGGATAGTCAGTTGAGCTGCTCCAACGTGGATCAGATTAACAAAGCGCCAGAAGTAATCATTAACGTTCCTGATGTTAGCGTTCAGAGTGGTGCAACCACACTGACCGCTGAAACAGGGACAACTTCTAGATCGAAGTCGCATGTACGAGTAGTAAACGTTATACCTTCAACATCTTCAGGACTGGCTCCATTGGAGACACTTGGCGTTGAAGACGCAACAGTCCTCGAGGACACCATCAGCCAAACATCTCGAGTCATATCTCCCACTTTATCAGAACAATCAGCTATCGCACGGTTCGGCGAAACGCAGAAACGACTTCATCAACAAGAGAAGCTTGTTAAAGTATTGTTGGTGACTATTTTAGCATTCAAGGTGTGTTGGTTTCCTTTCGCTGTTTACAGCATCCTCGAAACTCTCGACCTACATGTAAGTGATTCTTCATTGTTTCCTCTAGTGGCAGTATGGCTGGCATTTTCAAACACTATTTGCAATCCGATCATATATGCATTCTTGAATAAGCAGTTCAAAATGGCATTTCGAGATGTACTCCGAGCACTGTGTCGAGTTCAAATACGCAGTAATACCGTGCAGCCACACTCAGTGATCCGACCATAGCAATCTTCCTGCGCTGATCTACTTATCGGATGCAAGAGATTATAATCTCTAGTAGGAAGTGGATGTGTGGAATTCCGAAAATGAGATGTCTTTGGCCCTACCCCCGAGACAACTCTACGGAGCGTTTATGTGAAATTAGGCATCTGCTAACCCTTTTTCGGCCAGGCCAAGTTATATATTCGATAGAGTGGCGTCCGACAATAGCTGTAATACGCACGGGCTCTAGTTATAGCGTGCGCACGCATTTTCTGTTCGAGTTGTCTCGTCTCGGGTGGGCAAGACAAGGCGTTTACATGATAAAAGTTGTCCCGCCTGCCAGGGTAACCCTACCTGCCGAGGTGAGATGTCCCCCCTTCCCCCCCCCCGAGTTATCTCGCCTACCCGAGACGAGTTCACAACCTTATGTTGTGAACTCGTCTCCAGCATGTTAGGGATGCTGGATCACTTGACATTTTTAAGACGGCTTAAAACTGCTCTTTTTACACGTGCTTTTTAAATTCATGAAACGATCTTGGTGTTTTATAATCTTAACTAATTTTAATTATTTTAAACTGTTTTTGAACTGACTTTGTAAAATAGCGCCTTTGGACCCATGGGAAAGGGCGCTCTATAAATGTCTTATTATTATTATTATTATTATTATTATTGTTATTATTATTATTATTATTATTATTATTATTATTATGTAAACGGGCGGCTGAATTTTGTAAAGAAATGAGTGAAAACTTAGCTCGCGCAGAGTAACTCGAGGGTAGGGTTGTCTCGGGTACCCGGCGAGACCACATAAATGGGCCTCAGAGGACATAACCATGCTATACCACAGGGTTCCCATACAATCTGTATGGGCCTGCTGTGGTTATACATACAAAAGGGATGCGAAGGACTGTGTACACCTGTAATCCGGTGTTGAGATCAAACATAGGGTGTCAGCGAGCTTGTCAGAAGGGTAATAAGAACCCTTTTACCCTTCCTCTCCGTCTGTTCTGTGGTAGATTCGTGACCAATGATTCAGGGGCACACGCAAAGAAACTTTGTAACGCTGAGCATGAGTCAAAATGAAAGCCATGGGCATGCCGTGTATACAGGAGAGGGAGATGGAACTTTAGACCCCCCTTTGGCTTACCTTCCTCTTTTAAGTGCAGATTTTGCTGTTATTTTTGGTGTGCACACCTAGATTCTCTTGAACTATTAGTCAAATTGATATGTCTTTGGGAGCAAAAATTGGCATGCCTCGCATCCAAGAGGGGGAATGGGTTATTTTGCTCCTGCTTTGCCCCACCTCGCTCCCTTTTTGAGATTTTCACCTACGCTTAAGGTATGTACACAGACAATCCTAGAAAGCCCAAGTCAAATTTTCGTGTTCCCAGACTCAGAGCAGAGTCTTCAAAAGCAGCCCACACTGTAGGGGATCTGCTAAGGGGCAAAAACTGATCAGCTTAGAAATCAGAAATCAGCTAAATTTGTATGATTGAAAACTTCAATTCTAGAGAGAAGAATCTTAAAAGTATTCTTAGGTCTTAGGGCACCTGATTGCATTAAGTTTTTACATTTATTTAAGTTTTCATTACTCTAAAATACTATTATTACTCTAAAATTGATATTTCTGTAATGAATGTACTTTTAGTTTGAATCTCAATATTCATACTGTTGCTCACTTAATGCTCTGTAATTAATATAATTCTTAGTAATACCGTCTTTATGCATGATACAATAAAGCCTATGTAGCAAGTGTTAGATTTAACCATGTAGGCTACACATGATGAACTGGAATGTAATTAGTGTGAGATATCAAAACTGCCAAGGGCAATGGTAACAGTAAATAGTCTGGATTTGAGGTTCACTTGAGTGTTCTAAGCTTTAGTGTAATACTTCAGTATACAGTTGATCTGCCAGAATAATATAAAGTAATTTCTGAGGCAGGTCAAGTCATTACATTTTCAGAAATTACCACTTTATCTTGACAATAAGGTTGGTCATGTGCTGGTCTGGGAATCTCCTTGACTATGACCTTACATCAAGTCTGGCATAAAAGCTGCTCTTTGCTTTTTACTTTTCCTGAGTAGCTTCTGCCAATCGAAGAACATTCCTGGCTTGCTGTACTGTTGGCATGTCAATCATGTTACCATGGAAATTAATGGCACCCTATTTTAATGGAAAAACAAAGATGAGAAATGAACTTTCAAAAGAAAATGTCATATTCACTTAGCTAATTTGACTGCTTTGTATCTTAGCCTCAACTAACCTTTCCAACTCTTTCTTGTTCTTCAAAAGCATTTACAAGGTCTGTCGCCCACTTCACCTTCTCCTCACTCGGTGAAAATGACTTGTTCACAATTTCTATCTGTCCTGGGTGTATTATCTGTTTACCTATTTGCATCAAAGGAGAAAAGACAAAGATTACGTTCAACATTTTCATTTTACTCCTATCAGGGACTAGGACAGAACTTCTCAATGCAATATCAAGCACACAAGTAATCAAGCACACAGGTATCAAGCACACAGGTATCAAGCACACAGGGCAGAATTTCTCAACGCAATATCAAGCACACAGGTAATCAAGCACACAGGTAATCAAGCACACAGGTATCAAGCACACAGGACAGAATTTCTCAATGCAATATCAAGCACACAGGTAATCAAGCACACAGGACAGAATTTCTCGATGCAATATCAAGCACACAGGTAATGATATTAAATAACAAATATCAATAAGGGGATTATCAGTTGAACCAATAACAAATTCTCAAAAATAATGTGAAAGAGTAGTGTGATCATCCTGGTGAGTGTTAGTCCTGCGAAGGACTGTTGTCGGTGGTGGTGACTGACGTTTCTACAACCTGTGCGGAAGTCATCATCAGAGTCAAGTGAATAGTAGTTGTCAGTAGAATGTTCTTAGTCCTGTTCGTGTTAAATGATTGGTCAGTTTTGCCGTCATGTTATTGGCTGTAAGACTCAAGTGGCGTAAGTCGGTCATGATCGGTCTGTTTCGATCCATCGGTAAAGTTAGGTCGTTCTGTTCGGTTCGTTTGTAATGTTAATGTCGTGAATGAGTCGTTTGTATGGAGCCGGTAGTAGTTGACACCTGTTCAGGGGAGTCTGTTCTAAGTTAGTAAACCAGCTTTCCAGAGTCAGTCATAGAAAGTAGTTAGTGCTTTAGGTTAGGCATTGCGCAGTCTCAGTCAATTTTGTGGTTCATAAGTCGATGATGTTCAGCAATGTGATTGTTGACATCACCTTTCCTCGTAGTCCGTCTGTGTTCAGTCAGTCTTGTTGCAAGGTTTCTGCCAGTTTCTCCAATGTAGGAGGCTTGGCAGCCGGAGCAATTGATGTTATAAATCGCTCCATGTCTGTTCCTCGGTTCGTCCTTGTCTTTAACGTTGGTTAGTTACTGTCGTAGTGTGGTGATGGGTTTGTGGGCGATGTGAATATTGAAGGGCTGTAAGACGCGCGAGATGTTCTCAGACATGCCTTTTATGTACAGTATGGTTTCTGTGGTCGTAGGAGTTGCGGTGTCGTTTGTTTTGGTGGTAGCAGTATAAGGTCGGTGAGTGTTTCGTCAGATGAAGTCGTGGTTGTAGTTGTTCTTTAAAAAAAACACGGTAAAGGTATTTGTTCCCGTCGGATAAGCTGTCTGTTGAGTCGCATAATAGTTGCGCGCATCGTGTTAGAGTTCTGATAGTTCTGGCTTTGTCTGATGTAGGGTCGTAGGATGACTCGTCTAGTAATCTGTCAGTGTGTGTCGGTTTCCTGTAAACTGTTGTCCGTAGTGAGTTGTCGTCACGGCTTACCAGACAGTCTAAAAAAGGAAGTTTGCCATTTTCTTCAACTTCTCTGGTAAACTGTATGTCAGTGTTTTGTCTGTTAAGGTGGTGGTGGAATGCATCGATTTCGTTGTGTCATATGGCGGTGAATGTGTAGTCAACGTAGTGTAACCAAAGCGGTATCGTTTGTGGGCAAGTCGAAAGGGCGCGTTCCTCAACGTTCTGCATCACAATTTCTGCTACAACAACAGAAACTGGAGACCCCATGGCTGTACCGTGTACCTGTTTGTAGGGTTTACCGTCCTACTGAAAGTAAGTTGACACTAGGTAAAGGTACAGTAAGTCCATAATGTCGCCTGTTGGTACCGGTAGTGGGTCGGTAGATTGTCGGATTGCAGTCTCAGTACATTGTAGCACCAATTGAAGTGGAATACTTGTAAACAGTGATTTCACATCAAATGACACTAGTTTGTAGTCGTCAAGTATCTGTACAGTCTTGGTAGCGTTAATGAAGTCCTCAATTAGTCAGCCACCACCACCGACAACAGTCCATCTCAGGACTACACTTACCCGGACGATTACACTACACTTTCACATGTTACCCCCGGGTTCAAACCATTTACTGCACTACGTTCTCGGAAGTAACTTCATAAGAATCATGCGGAAGGCAGTAAGGAGAAAATAATACAAACCCGCAACCCTTTCACTTGGGAGTGAAAGGGTTAAGTAAAAACCTGATATACCCACGAACCCATTTCTTCCGAAGCTTATGCAGGTGTCTGAGCATGATTAGGGCTACGGTTTTTTCCTACTGGGGAAGGTGCTAGTCCATCTAAGATGAGCTCTTTAGGTGGACAGAGGGACTGCAAAAGTTACATACCTTACCAAAGCACACAACAAAATCAACTGGCTTTACAAGTTCAAGTGGAAAAATAATCGATAGAGTTTACTCAATCCACAAATGGAACGAGTTATACCAGCCAAGAAAAGTAGAAATGGGAACAAAAACAAACAAACAAACAAACAAAAAAAAAGGCTCACCAGTATAACCAAACCTGGCACCCTCCTCTGCTTGTGCCTGTAAACCCTCAGGGTCTGTAAATAAGTAGAGAAGAGAGCTTTTTGTGCGTGTGTGTGTGTGCTGTCATTGCTGTTTTACAGAAACTGTTGCTTTTCCTCGAACTTCAACTCATAAGCCTTTGTAAATGGATAATCCATATAATGGGCTCCTGAAAATCCAACTCGTGCTGAGCATTTGTTCAATTTTGAAATCAGACCAAATTGTACTCTACTCAGTTCACTTACCATAAGATTATAAATATAGCAGGTTGCCAATTCATTAAATATGGAGATAACTCAGAAGAAAAATAATGACAGTCATTATAATTGTGAGCCTCAGCAAGATTTGAAGAAGTCATCCTTCTTTAACGAGCTGCCTGTCTGATGGCCCTGGAAATCAATATGCCCTGAGGACCTATTAGAGTTTATGAAATAATTTGGATATATCAACAAAGTTGAAAGGGTAAATTGGCCACCGTAACGATTACAAAAGCTGACGTTTCAAGCGTTAGCCCTTCGCTCTGACGAAGGGTTAACGCTCGAAACGTCAGCTTTTGCAATCGTTACAGTGGCTAATTTAACACTTCAANTTTGTTGTTGTTTGATTTATCATCTACGGGTTTATGTCGAATTAATTTGATGGCCTGCTCCCAGTTGGCTTGTTAGCTCAATTGGTAGAGCGCTGCACTAGTATCGCAGAGGTCAGTGGTTCGAATCCCGTACAGGCCTGAAATTTTTTTCAGGTCTGATTTTCACTATTGCTCAAATAGTGCTTTACTGCGAAGGATCGTGCTCATATACGTCTCATAACCGCAGTTCACACATATGTTTCATATGTTTGTTGTTGTTTGATTTATCATCTACGGGTTTATGTCGAATTAATTTGATGGCCTGCTCCCAGTTGGCTTGTTAGCTCAATTGGTAGAGCGCTGCACTAGTATCGCAGAGGTCAGTGGTTCGAATCCCGTACAGGCCTGAAATTTTTTTCAGGTCTGATTTTCACTATTGCTCAAATAGTGCTTTACTGCGAAGGATCGTGCATATATACGTTTCATAACCGCAGTTCATACATATGTTTCATATGTTTGTTGTTGTTTGATTTATCATCTACGGGTTTATGTCGAATTAATTTGATGGCCTGCTCCCAGTTGGCTTGTTAGCTCAATTGGTAGAGCGCTGCACTAGTATCGCAGAGGTCAGTGGTTCGAATCCCGTACAGGCCTGAAATTTTTTTCAGGTCTGATTTTCACTATTGCTCAAATAGTGCTTTACTGCGAAGGATCGTGCATATATACATATAAGTTTATGGTTTGTTAATGACAAAATTCTTCATAGTGGAACAAGGATGCAAATACCAACCACATGTTTCTAACCTTTGAAATTAATGTAGACCATATCAATAGCTTGTAGACCAAACGCCTTTGCATGAACAACAACACTCTGACGGGCATGTAACAATTCCTTTGCATCTTTTGTTCGAGTAGCTCCTGAAATAGAGTTCATGCACATTTTTCCACAGATTGAAAAGCAGTTTCAATGAAGTGAAGATATCCTTACCCTTATGGATTTTGTCACCCTTATACAAATTTGTTTTTTAACTTTTCCTCCTAATTATTCAAAGGATTTGTGCTTTTCACAATTAATAGAAAGGCACTAGAAAACCTTTTATTGTGCTGGTGGAGAAGAAGTTCCAATATGGTACAAAGTAAAAAAAAAAAAATAGTCATTAATTAACCGTTTAACTCCCAAGATCCGATTGTTGATTCTCACTTCTAGCTCCTACACAATTCCTTGTAAATTAGTAACCAGAATTTGAAGCACTAAGCCTTGAAGATGCTTCAACCAAAGAAAAGGGCAAAATGGTGTCGCATGGGTACCTGAGGTTCTAGAATCAGTAAAAACCCCCACTGTTAACTTAAACTAACTACTAGAGGTAGACTTGGTGGCCTCTGCACTGCCTGCTGCTCATTTATTCAATTTTAGCTCCAAGAATTTTCAATAAATATCCAATGTTGATATTTCCCTTTTCTGGTCATCATCTTTCTGCATGAAAATGGATTGACATAGCAAGAAGCAATTCCATTTTAGTTATTCCTTGCCATGAAAGGGTCAACGCAGTCTCACCTATGCTGACAAGAAAGTCATCTGATCCAAAGACGAGAGCCTCAAATCTGAATGGTCTGTCAGTTGATGTGCCATGTTCACAGACAGCATGAAGATTTAGAAGACTAAGTGCACTTTCAACTTGAGTGATGAGCCCAAGCTTTTTTTCTGCACTTGACTTCATAATGGAGGATACTTGGTTACTTAACTGAAAGTTGAAATACAATCAAAGAAACAATTTGTGTAAATAAACCTGGCAAAAAAAACAACAAAAAAACAAACAAACAAACAAAAACTCACTCACTCTTGAATGAGTGCTTGTGAAACAAAACCAGCTATTAACAAAGGGTAACTAATTTGTAATGAGCCAATAAACTCAAAGTAAACCCGAGCAAGCTGTCTCAGGCATGGGGGAAGAGTGACAAGTCATGAGGGGGTTAGTTTTTGTGCTGATGCAATGGTGGGTGTTGTACTTTTGTTTTAATAACCGAATTGAAAATTTAAATTAGCCACTGTAAAAAGAGTTTCCATAGGTGACATTTCAAGCACTAGCCCTTTGTCAAAGTGAATTATCAAAAATTATGTCAGCTTTAGAAACTCTTTATGGTAGCCAATTTCAATTAATAAAACCAACATATCAAGTCACACTTGGTTTTAATATTTTTATTTGATTTTTTAAGAGAGTATAGGGATGTGGTCTAGCAGTGCCCGGTGGCCCCTGGCACCTTACTTTTGTTCCTAAGCAACCCAGGAATCTTAGTTTTCAGTTTCATAAAAAGCATATGCTGGGCAACCTGGATTTCACAGTTTCTGAGTGCTGGGCTCCCTTCAATTTTTCTCAGAGCACAGCCTTGGAGTAAGGTAAACGTAAAGTCTGTTTGCGAGCCTAGTGGCCCATTAGGCCAGTGCTCAACTCTGGTTTCTGTGGCATGAAGCGACTAGGAGTATTTCTACTCCCCCCTGGATGGGATGCCAGTCCATCGCAGGGTTACCCCCAGCATTAAATTGCCGGTACCCATTAATACACCTGGGTGAACAGAGGCACTGTGAGAGTAGAGTGTCTTGCCTAAGAACACAACACAATGACCCGGCCGGGGCTCGAACCCGGACCACTCGTTCCGGAGTCGAGTGCACTAACCACGAGGCCACTGCACCTCCACACAGCCTTGGAGTAGTGTGAGTTTTTTGGATCAAATACAGAATTACCCTTGCTTAAGTTGACTACTATACAATTCTCATTATAATTGTAATATATTTTATCATTATTCTATTATCATTAGGGCTGTAGTCTAGCCCCTGGTGCCTTATTTTAGATTTTAGGCAACTCAGGAACCTTAGTTTTTTCATAAAAAGCATATGCTAGGCACCCTGGATTTCACAGTTTCAGAGCCTGGGCTCCCTTCAATTTTTCTTAGAGCACAGCCTTGATCATTATTACATTTATTACTATTATCATTATTATTATAATATTATTAAATTGTTATTGTTATATTCAGGGTGTTCATTACATATCACAGATTAGAGAATACTTTGGCTATCGCGCCAAACCAACCAATCGAAGATAACAGCCTATTAACAAATTTTTAATTCAGACATGGAGAATATTTTTCTTTTCATTGACACTCTTCTCATACTACAATAACTGTATTTCTCAATTAATGAAAATTCTGACATTTAATCACAATTCAAGAATAAAGTTTAAAATTTACCCAATCTAAATGCTGCACAGAGTCTACTTTTGGTACCACAATAGAGTCAGGCAGTTCCTTTGCTGTCAATGCTGCTTTCAAATCATCTTCTGCCAAACCACTCTCAATGGAATTAATACGAACACAAACTTCACTGGAACCAAAGTTCAGTTGACCAAGGATGTTGTGAATGGTATTCCTTGCTTCTCCCTGAGAAAAAAGAAAAATTTATAGCCCTTCCAATCATATAATTCAAACTGGACCTAGTATAATTATACCACACAGGTGAATAGTGCTTTTCATGAACACTGATTGGCTAGTGCGAAAGTAATCGGCAAGAATTACTCACCTCTGAGCAGCCAAAGAGACCAAGTTACGAGTCTGCAATTTAATTTCCAACCATTTATTGGTGTATTGACTGAAATAAACTAATTTTTTTTGGTTTCTGTGTGGTATATACTAACAAAGTTATTCACCTCAGTATTGGTGAAAGTGGTGTATATTTACTTCACCACTTTGTGGCCTGGTAAATATCTACCACTACTCATGTCCACTTCACCTAATAATTGTTTAATAATAGAACCAAAAAATGATCTTGTTTCAATAACTGAAGTATACTCCTGACCTGAGCGAGTGCAAGAGACCAAGGGGGGAGGAGGAAAAGGAGGCGGCCAGCTTGATGGCACTCAACTATTTGCACAAGCCCAGTGACATGTAATATTCACCAGAGGGGCATCACCAATCTTCAAGAAAATTTCCTTTCATTCAGTATGTAGTTCCTATAATTGGCAAAGAGTTCACCTTAAAATAGAGGCTTGATGCAATTCAAACCTTTGTTGTATGGACCTTTTCGCAACTAACCCCCATCCTTTTGTTAAAAGGGGGCTTTTCATTCCCCTCTAAAATGGAAATTGTTGGAAGTGAAACCCAAATCTGAAAATGTAGCTGTTCCGTATGCGTGAAGTTCGATAGTTCACTATCATTCACTTCTACCGTTTAATTCCCTGAGTGTCTTCGTAAACCTGAAGCTTTCTTCGCTCCATTGACTACTTTACCTTTTTGTTGGAGGCCACTCCATCCTCGCAGTCCAACACCACACAGTCAGAATTCAAACCTGTCGCTTTTGATACTTTTCGTTCCTCGTTCCCTGGGATGTAAAGAAATGATCTTCTTGGAGTGCGGCCTTTAACACCACACAGATTTCTCGACAAAAGTAAAAGCCTGAGGTGGTTGTTTTTTAAAATAATTTTGCACAACTTCCCTCCTCCAAACATTTTTGTCGCGTGGATTAGTTACCAGCTCTCCTCTCATTTTGTTTTCTTTCCGAAACGGGGATGGGAGAGGTGGGGGAGTCGTTTTTGAAGGATAAGGATTGCTGATTCAGCCGAAGCCGCTGTAGTGGAAGAACCTTTATTCTGTCTTGGTTTTGAATAACATCTATGACGCACATCGTCTGGCTATTGTAACTGCTGGAAAAGTATTGGGAAAAAATTTTCTAATGTGCTGACAAGAAGAATTTGTTTAACAACTAACAATTATTTTTCGTCTTAGTTTAACAGCACAGTTTCTTTAGTTGGCCATCATTTCCTTTACCCTCATGACCTTTATGTGTGATTCAAGGGTGATATTGTAAGGAGAAATCAGATACTAGTCACTCTTAGGGAACAAAGAATGAAGGGCTAATAGAATTGCCATCCCTGACTCCAGAAAAGTGGACTTTTCCGAAGTGTTCTGTAAATCCGTCCAACAAAGTTGTTTAATTCACCACTAGAAGTAGTGATGATAGAACCAACAAAGTTGTTTAATTCACCACTAGAAGTAGTGATGATAGAACCAACAAAGTTGTTTAATTCACCACTAGAAGTAGTGATGATAGAACCAACAAAGTTGTTTAATTCATAATTAATGGAGACGCAACGTGTCGCTCGTACTTTCAGTCTGATCTGTCACATGACCTCACGCAGCACGAGAAGGAAGAGTCGTCTTTTACGAGCATACGGCGCACTCTTATATCGGTGGTAACAATTCACCTTGCAAATTTATCATATTTTTTACTCCTTTTATTGATTCTCTCATTGCCAACTAATACAGGGTCATACAGTGATATGGTGGCACTGAACTTATGAGATTTTCAAAAACTGGATCTTGCGAGTTAACCCTTTGACTCCTAAGATCTGCTCTTGAACTCTCCCCTCCAGTTGCTACACATTTCCTTGTAAATTGGTTACGAGAATGTGGTGTTCAGTCAAGGCAAGCACTTCTACCTGATAAGTTTGAGTATTCTCACTACCTGTTTGCTGGATCATGTATGGATATTATAGGGAGAAGTTACACGTTAATCACCTTTGAGAGTTAAAAGGTTAGAGAATTAACCCTACAACCTAACATCAGTGCGCATATTCTCCATACTGTCCTCTTTACATTTCCAAAGACGCTCACAAGGAGAATGTGTTCATCAATCAAGAGCTTCTTTAGTTGGTGATCATCTCATTTAACCTTATGACCTAAATGTTTGTTTCCGAGGTTATACTGCATGGAGAAATTACTCGAACGGCTTAACTTAAAGGGTTCACAGATAAAACTCTCGGTAGAGGGTAGCAGAGAGTGACGGTGGAGAGGGTCGAGAATGGAATTGGTTAATTAAAAAAGGAAACAGGCCATCATTCAGTCCAGAAATTATTTTAATTCATTCTTCTATGAAAAATCGGGCACAAAAAATGTCCCGGTGCACAATACAACACAGTCGGAATAGAATTACGCGGGAATAAAGAACAAAAAAGTGCAACAGCAACACAACATTGTTTACCACCTTAGAACAACTTATGTCGCAGCATGAATCCAAGACTTGGAATCTGTAGCTAGAGGTTTTCTTTCTTTTTACTTTTTACGTAAAACTTTCATGGGAATTCACATTGTTTTCAGTCACGAAGCCTTACGAAGAAGTAGCCTTACTCTGCAAATAAACGTCAAGACCTTTTCTTTCTTTGTACAAAATTCATACACATAAATATAGATAGAGGCATATACAATACGTAGCGTTAGTTCAAAGTGCCCCGACATTGTGGGACACCACACAAACAAGGGATTTTCTCATCTTCAATGGGGAATTTGTAGTCGTACGTGATTTCTTCATTCACTTCGATATCTCTCTTAGAATAAATGACTATTTTCTTGGCATTCTCTAATGTGACTATCTTGGCGTAGCAGTTGGGCTGTGGAAAACGAAAGAAAAATGAGATTGAAACACCCACCGGATTGCACCATTAGATTAAAATAAAAAAAAATAAAAAAATGAGAGTAACCGAGGTAAAAAGTAACATCGCATAGACGCTTCCACGGGTTTAACCTTAACACCCTAACGTCAACATGCATATTCTCAATACTGTTCTTAGCCTGCAATGCATATTTGTATTTTGACTCGCCCGACGGACTCGTCAAAATACGGCACAACTCGTAAAAATACTCAGCGATACTACAGAATACAACGTCTAATAAGATATATGTATTTAGAAACCACACTGTACGGGGATTTATCTAAACTAACAGGACCCCTAGTAAACTCTCCTCACAAAATACCTAAAAGCGTGGTCTGTTCGGAACCAATCAAAAAGCAAAGTAAAGCAAAACAGAGGCACTCTTGGATTACTTTCGAAACTCATTACAAATGGCTCCAATGAGTTATCTGGAACTATTCACGAGAGATAAAGATGGTACTTACATCACAACAGTGGTTGATAAAGCGCGCAAAGTTTCCTTTCGTGGTAGCATCAATAATAGTGTCGTGGTCAACACGAAACAGGTAACTTGATCCGATTCCCATCTCCTCGTATCTCCGCTCACGGATGTCGGCAATGGGCTGTCTGATGATCTCTCCGACATATTCTGTTACCATCTCATCCGCTGCGATGTTCTCCATGGCGAACAGACCCCAGTCGTGGATACCCGACTTGGCGAATCGAAGTTGCTTTTTCCGCACCTGGCGACAAATGGAAAAGATATCAGGAGAATTCTTTGGAGCGGCTTTCGATTGGTTGCCGTGAAACCGAAACCAAAGTAATCACAACAGCCAATCAGAGGACAGGAAAAGATCACAAGGAGCCAATAAGAACACAAATTAAAAAGAAGCGCGAGAAAACGCGAGTGACCAGGTCGCGATTTGTTGTAAATTTGAATCTGATTGGTTGAGAGAATGGAACAAGTTTTCTGGACCAATCACAAAGCGAAGTAAAGCGAAACCAAAGCAATCCCGGATAACTTTGGACACTCATTTGAGAATCCTGCATCAACCCTTTACAGCATTATCCACAATCTCTGTATTGTTTTTTTTTTTGTGTGTGTGTGTATGTCCATGGGAAGTTGCATATGGCACATTCTACAATCGAAACACTGAATTGAGTTGGGAGGTATAATAATATTGTTACTACTGTAGCTCAATTTTCTTTATGAATACAGCTGTAAAAAAGTACAGTTTCTGTATAGGCAAAAAGCTCTTGAGCTAAGAAGAGTCATGGTAATAAAGAGCCTTTGTCTTTGAGCAGGAAGGCCCACCCTTTCTGACTGGGAGAATTTGACTGACAATGAAAATCTTACTGAAGTCGGCGATCATTTCCTTTTTGCTCACGACGTTAGAATTTGATTCAGGAATGATATTGTAAAGACAAATTAGATGAAGAGAACTCATAAGGGTTAAAGGCTAACATTAATATAGATATATATGTATATATTTTTTTTGTTTTTAGGTTTGAACCCAAATACTAAGGAGTTTAGGCCATCTCCAAGTTTTCATTTAATTTTTCAAGTTTTAACTGAGTCATCCAGCGTCGAGCTTTCAGTAAATGTAAAAGATGTTTGCTTCAGAAACCACATGTTTGAAATCTCGTCATTTATGATTCTATGTAATTTACGCATTACTTACCATGAGCTGATTAAACTTGAGCAAGTCACCAAATTCCTCGTTGCACACCACCGACTGCAATCTTCTTTGAATGGCTCTGTGTTCACGTGACTGTTGTTTGGCCTTGTTGCCGTCTGTTTTCTGAGAATCACAGCGAGACAAAAACTATCACTAATCTGTTACTTTGACGATGCGATTTACTATGACGATGACGGTATTTGAGATAGCAAAAGCAACAGACGTCACAACAACTTGACAAATAGCACGTTGGCACTATTCTCGAAACCAAAAACAGTTGAATAAGCAGGAACAAGACGTCAAATGAAATAGTTTCTGTCGAGCTCAAAACATAACAAAACCAAGATGGCCGCTGCAGGAAAAAAGCAAAACCGATGCAATTGCGTATTACACTTACTCTCTAATAGAAGGACAACGGGGCACTTGTTTAAAAACCTTATATCACTCTTTAACTCCCAAGATCGGATTGTTAATTCTCTCCTCTAGTTACCACACATTTCCTTGTAAATTAGTTACGAGAATTTTGGAGCAAGATCAAGATAACTTCTACCTGATAAGTTTGAGTATCATCATTACTTGTTTTCTGGATAACGTATGTACATTACAGGGAGAGGGTTACGTGTTAATCACTTCTGGGAATTAACGGTAACCTAACGCTCGACAGATGAGAATACCTGTTCTTCAACCGTAACGTTGGCCTGACACTGCAGCTGCCTTCTCTGAGCCTGTAGATATTTGGCCTTTTCTTTGATGTCAATTTTGTAAAAGCCCTCTGTTCGGGCACATCCAGTCACATGTACACGTACACCGTGTTCTGTTTTCAGTTTCCGGCGTCCTTTCGTTACAGTTTGAGCGGTCGGTGGAAATGGTTAAGGAAAACGTCCATACTCTTACAGAGTGCTTTTGGAATAAGCGGCTTAAAAACCAGCACAAACTGGAACAAAGTGACCATTTAGCACTTAAAAAAGTAGCGAATGAGCGCTCAAAGATAACACATGAAGGAAGTTTGCAACACGAGAACATGCGGGTAACCAAGTTCCAATTGGTCCGGGTTACCCTGTATGCAGCGATAAAGTGTGGTTTATACAACACACCGTTTAATCGTCTGCGCATTTGCGAACGTTGTAGTGAAGTTGTCTCACACGAGTTAGAAACAACCACTCAAGGCAGTACGTCACGGTGTTTTCGAAGCATAGACCTTTTTTGCTAAAGCTCAAAAAGGAATGGTAAATAAACAGAATACCCGTACTTGAATAAGATTTGTGTTCGTAAACCTCTTGAGTTTTCCTTTTTCCTACTTGTGTTTCCTTTTTAAAGTGCACCTAAACCCAAAAATTTTTTTTCGCTTAACGAAATATGCTTATTTTTTGGAGTATTTCTGCGCCAAAAGTTTTTAATTTGCTCAAATATTTAATTTTCTGTGCTCAGTCAAAATACGGAAAATTGGCCGCCATCTTGCCCCACGACCGAGTTTAAAGAGGAATGGCTCTAGCGGGTAATGTGACGTCAAATCGAGAACACGAAAGTCACCATTTCACACATTTTCACATGTTTCGGAAGGTTGTAGTCGATGTTGTCCGAAAATATGCCGACTAAGTGTGTTGTAGAAGGATGTAGCAAGCGAAATTTGCAAGAGGGTATCGCGCTTCGTACATTCCTCATACAACACACCTAGTCGGCATATTTCGGACAATATCGACGACAACCTTCCCAAACAAGTGAAAATGTGTGAAATGCAGACTTTCGTGTTCTCGATTTGACGTCACATTACCCGCTAGAGCCATTCCTCTTTAAACTCGGTCGTGGGGCAAGATGGCGGCCGATTTTCTGTATTTTGACCGGGCACAGAAAGTTGAAGATTTGAGCAAATAACAAAATTTTTGCACAGAAATACTCCAAAAAATACGTTTATTTCGTTACGCGAAAAAAAATTTTTGGGTTTAGGTGCACTTTAAAGATTCGAAGAAAGTCTCGACTTTCTTTGTTTTTATTGAAATTTTGCGCGAGACATTAGCGCGGGTGGCCAAAATTGATCCCCTTATGCATGCCCTACGTTCGAACGCTGTGCTAGTTCAAACACATTTCAAAAAATTTACCTGACGCTACGTTGATGCGTCTAAGAATGTCTAAGTCAACAGCCAATCAAGCGTATCTGAATTCGGTGTTGTAAATGAAAAAAAGGGATCATAGCGACATATCAGAACAAAACAAATATCCAGGGAACCAATAGTAACTCGAAGTAAAAAAAGCGAGGGAAAAAGGCAGCGCCTGAGGCGCAGTAGGTTTTACTTTAACATCTGATTGGTTAAGAGGGCCCAATCACAAAGCGTTGCGAAACAAAACCAAAGTATTCCCAGATTACTTTTGACACCGACTAAAAACATTGCACTAGTCACAGTTATACTGAATTTAGTTAAAAGGATATGTGGGTGACTACTCCAGTGTGCGTCCACGACTGAATCAGATCCAACCTGTTGAAGCTGCTCAAAACCAACTTTTAGGTAATAGCAGTCTTCTGCGTCGATGCCCACTCTCTGAAACTCGTACACAAGCTCATCGTCGGCTTCAAATGACCGTACGGGAAACTGGGGCTTAGGAGAAGTAAGTTCAGGCAACAAGGATAATGCTGAATCAACAGTTACTATGTCAACAACAGGCGACTCGGCGAGCTGTCTGTCTTCAGAAAGGGATGTGTCCATGATATTTTTGTCCTTGAACAATTCAGAAACTTTTATAGTCTCTAATGGTAGTCCCTCTGGGATGGTTAATCCATACGGGTGATCAAGTTCAACAAGCGAAACAGCCAAAGGTTTATCAGGGGACAACAAAGGCATTCTTTCCTCCGAAAAACTGTGGTTTTGATCTGTTTCAGAATATGATTCTTCTTCAGAGGAAAACACAAGATTTTCAGGCTCGACTGTCTCCTTTTCTCGAAAACCGATCACAGAGGCACCTACAGGACCTTCAACTTCTGTTTTCTCGAATAAATCGCCTTGGTTCATAATTTTATCTTTTTCACCCGAGATGAAATGACCGCTGTCTGTAGTAGGTTCAGCATCTCTAATGTCCAGTCTACTAAGCGGCGGTTGCTCTATTTTCATTTCAAAGTCTCCACTGATTGTGCTTGACTCGTCCTTTTCTTCTACAGGTGAAGTTCTCCTTTTGCTCAAAGAATCTTCGTCTTTAAACAAATCAGGTACGATGTGAGCAATATGGAAAGAGCGATAGGTCTCTGTAGGCGCAGATTGTCCAACTTTGTGATTAATTCCTTTTGACACAGTTTCTAACTCAGTTTCTTTAAACATTTCTCCACTCTTGTAACTTAAATCCTGTGGTTGCTCAGTTTCCTCAGAGTTCACTGAATTAGACAACATTTGACTTGAGGATTTCTGATCTTCTTCAAGGAAGACTTCATCTATCGAGAGAGAGGCAGGAGAGAAATTTGTTAGTAAAATTGATAAATAATTGGATACCTTTAATTTCCCACTGATGGAATCTAAAAAAAAGTGTACCTAAATCATATATCTGCCAAAAAGCAACAATCCAAATGTTTACCACAATTGGCAGTAATGTCGTAATCTGATTGGCCAATTTGCTGCTGTAGATAAGCGTACAGACCACGCTGCTAACGGCAACGTGTCACGCAATGGTCACGCACTGCAAGAATCGTTTCATTCGACGTCGATATTTTGGTAAATATTTTGACAGTCGCGTCCGTTTAGTTTCACATTAGTAACAGGCAGATATAGGCCAATGAAACCTCCCTTACACTTTTCACCCAAGCATCAGTATGCATATTCTCCATACTGTTCTCTATACATTTCCTTAGGTGCTGACAAGGAGAGTTTGTTTAACAATCAAGAGCTTCTTTAGTTGGTTATCATTCCCTTTGTTCTCGGGACCTTGATGTGTGATTCAAGAGTCCTGTTGAAAGGACAAATTAAATGCTAGTCTCCTTTAAAGAAGAAACATTTTTTCTCTGATTACCTTGATGTTTCTCCACGAGAACTGCTACCATGTTCAAACCTTTATCAATTTCCTGCTCCACATCCACTTTAACTTCCAGCTGTTGTTCGTCCTTGACAACATCTTGCCTGGCTTCATCCTCACTCTCGGATTCACTTTCCTCGTCACTTTCGCTTTCGCTCTCGTCCCCACTGCCTTCTCCACTTTCCACTTCTTCTTCTTCTTCCTCCTCTTCATCTTCACCATCAGACTCGCTCTCATCACTGCCTGATTCGCTGCTACTGCTACTACTGGAGTACACTGTGTGGTACAATGAAGAACCTGTGCTTGGCCGTCGCTCATCAGCTTGAAAAAAAAAACAAAACAAAACAAAACCACAAAAGTAAGTTTCCTGGCCCAGACTTAAAACACTTATTTAGCTGAAAAATAATAATTAAAAAAAAAAATGAAGTTCCTTGTATTCAGCAACACATTATTAACATGACAGGACAGCTGCTTTGTGTAAGAAATTCTATTACCTTCGGTGCTCCTCACTATCATGGCCTTTGGAGCGACATCCATACTGTCGTCAAGCTGAAGTGGTGAATGGCTCCGCTCTTCTTCTTCAAGCCTACTGATAGTGCGTGGTCGCCTGTCCAAACCAGAGCTACTCTCCAAGTCTGTCTCCATTTCTGAGTCTACCTCATCTAAAATGCGCCTCTTTGTTTCTCGCTGGGGGACGTCTGAAGATTCGGTGTTACTGCGTTTCCTTGAGGAACTATTTAATTGTTCTGTCTTTTGAGGCTCAGGTACTCGTTTCACTTTAAATGAAGGAAGTTTGGGAAGTGAGGCACGCAATCCAAGGAGCATGCTGGGAGATCTCTCAAAAGGACTAGGTCCAATCGTAGAAGCTGCAGCGCCAGAGTTTGATGGAAGACCAACAGTGGCTGTTGGAGTTTGGCACATTGGTAGATTTCTTGCGGTAGTTGCAGTTGTGGGTGACGCAGTCTAATATTGACCAAGGAAATTGTTAGTTTACTGTCATCATCATCACCATTACAAATTATCATTATAAATTCTACCACCTACTGTCAAGTTTATCACTTGACATCATTAACTCTTCAGCTCCCAAAAGCGATTAACATGTAACTTCTCCCTAACAAAATACTCAAACTTGTTGTCTTGATTGAACGCCAAATTCTGTAACTAATGAAAAGCAACTAATACAACACGAAAACTACGACTACTGTGCACACATATACAATCCAGCATGATATCTACTTCTCATTATCTTCTTCACCTAGCTAACTAAGTCATCTTATTACACGACTCGGGCAGTCAGAGGGCCAATAACTAAAATCAACCAATCAAAATACTCTATTGCCGGTCAATATTCTCTCAGTATTGGATCAGGCACTGTCCCGAATGGTCCCGAATGGTCCCGAATGATACTGCACTTGTGTCCCTTTGAACTTCAGTCGTATAATAAATCTCTTATTAACCAAGCTTGCTCGGGACCGTACTGGAAGAATATCAGCCCTCGGTCTTTTTTGTACAGACCTCGCTGCGCTGGGTCTGTACTGTCAAGACCTCGGGCCAATATTCTCCCAGTACGGCCCTTGCACTTGGTTAATAAGATATATTTATACAGTATTAATTTGAATAATGCGAAATAAAATTGGAAAACTTGCAAACTTGACAAAGAATGTGTAGCAACAAGAGGGGAGAATTAAAAATCAGATCTTAGGAGTTAAATATTAGGTGCTTATAGAGATGTGTGCTCTCTGATTGGTAGAAAACTACCTCATATTTCCCAATAATCAACTGCACCAGGTAATTTACAAAACTGAACCATAATCTTTAAAATGACCACTGCCAACATTAAAGATGCTCTTTACCATTCAACTCCCAAGATCTGATTGTTAATTCTCCCCTCTGGGTGCTACATATTTCCTTGTTAGTTAGTTATGGAAATTTGGTGTTTGATCAAGATGACAACTTCTACCTGATAACTTTGAGTATTCTCATTACCTGTTTGCTGATTAATGTATGGATATTATAACGAGAAGTTGCTTGTTAATCATTTCTACAAGTTAAAGGGTTAAAGGGGAAACAGGTAAAATAAAAGAAAATTCAGTTGCTCTAGTAATCATCTGAGAAATTATACTTCAAGATGAAAATATCCATCCAGTGGTGGCTCGTCTTTAAGACCCCTGGGCCCAGTTGTTTGAAAGCCGATTACCACTAAACCAAGGTTAAATCTAAATCCAGCTTTCTTTATTCCTTTGTTTAAAGGCATTTTCAAGATATTTTTTTCTATTCTTTTTAGAGCATCCAATAATCAAATTCTAGACAAAAAAGAATTCTATTTAATTTTCTCTTAAAGTTTTCAGATTTGAAATTAGAGGCCAGAAGCAATATACCTTTGGTTTGGTCTGATTATCCCACCACGATTCCAAAGCTTTGAATGCAGATGCCTCCACAAGTTTCTTGAAGATATCTCTCTTGAGAACAGCATCCAGGTCAACACAAATTTTTCTATACACTTCATCAATGATCAAAGCTCTCCGAGTCTTTTTCTGCTCCACTTTGGGATAACCATAATTTCCACTGTTAGGAAAGCTAGGATTTGCAAACTGAGGTGCTCTCCGAGTGTCGTAGAAAGCAGGACGGGGTATGGCTGGAGGTGGCACTGGAATAGGTGGACCAGAAGGTGGCAGCACAACTGGAGGTAGAATGGGTCTTGCAGGAGGTAAAGGGGGACGCATGTTGGGAGG